CAGAACATTTGTCAAAAATCAGATTAAGTTATATTTAAATACCAGCAGTCCCCCCCCCCTTTTTTTCTCCTAAACAAAATACAATAATGGTGTTTCGAACCGAGGCCAAGCGTCTTACACTTACAGTTATCAGTGTTTCGGACGTTTATATACAAATATTTTGTTGATGCCAAAGAAACAAAAGTTCGCAGACCAAGCATTTTTTTTTTTTAATCAGATATTACTTCTGTTGACACCACTGATCTGGATTTACTCGCCGCGATTCGGATTTGGTTGGCTTCTCACAAGGAAAAGGAACGCGGGCCCCGTCTCCTGAAGCTGCAGCATGAGATACCGGCCCCATCAGCCAAGAAAGGAACGGTGAGAGAGCAGAAGCCTAAGCCTAGCACCACCAACGCCCGTGCCGAACATTATTCTGCTTGTCGATAAATGGGTTCAATACCGTTCGTTCAATGTGCGCGATGAATGTCCCCAGGTTGACGCCGCGATGCTGAAAAAGGCTTCCGAACTCTTTTGGAAGAAGGTCTTGTCGACTGCAGTCAGAGCATTACTCGTTATGGGATCCAATGAGAGAGAAGCAAATGAGGGCATAAAGAGAGCCCTAGGATCTTCACTCATAAACTCATTCGGGTCGAATCATGGATTGAACAACCGAAAAGGAGAGGTATATCTTCCAACTCGGACTTGCGGACTCTAAAACGAGAGCCGCGGTAAAACTTTAAGACCACACTGTAAAAAGCTTACGAACTAAATACTTTGCAACGTTACGAACAATTTTCGATCTTTGTATTGCAAAGAAATTGCTGGTATTGCAAAGCGATTGTTTGTAAGGCTAGCAGGGTCTTACGAACAATCGGTTTGCATTACGAACTATTTGTTTGTAAGCTTACGAACAATTAGTTCGTAATACAACGCTTCAAAATCCTTCGTAAGCTACGAACGTTTTGGTTTGCATTACGAACCTATTGTTCGTAAGCAATTTACAGTGCATGCTCTGCCGATTAGCCATCATTCCATTCCCAGACACGGGTTTGCAATATTACACTATTCCCAAATTGGTGTTCGAACATTTTCATTACAATAGTAGTGTGACTCGAAACTTAAAACGGTGGCTCAGTTGGGGGGCGGTAGTGGCTGTGTTCAGTTTGAAACGCATGCAGGCGTGTATTGATGTGGTCTGGTGTGTTGCAACGAATGTTATGTTTTTGCCCTGAAGTCCCCTTTCCTTTACCAGTACAGTGGAGCTGCGTTGTACGCGGGTCTTTCTCTGCTGGAGCATTCGTGTGTGCCCAATGCACGCACCGCTCAGGCAGACGGTGACTCGGACGCAGTCATACTGGTTGCCTCGAGGGACATCGCTGCCGGCGAGCACGTGACCATCAGCTACCACGACAACCCACTGGCTAACCTGCACGAGCGCTGGGTAGACAATGCTACAAGAGGCTTCGTGTGCCGCTGTGAGTTGTGCGAGGATCCAACAGAAAAGGGAACATACTTCAACGCCTGGTGCTGCACAACTTGCAAAAGTAAGTAAACGAGTTAGGACTGACTATAGCTGCTAGTAGAGTTTTTATTTTTCTGTCGGGATACCTGAATCCCCGCAAGCGCCCCTTCCCTCTCCCCTTTTTAGCCCGCCCTCACAACCGCTCTCGTGTCCGTCCGTCCGTCGTGTGTAAGAGGAGAGAGATGTGCCAGAGGTCCAACAAATTTCGTTGTATCTTAGGGGTCACTCCTTCCTGGACAACGAAACACCAGGTGCGAATACTGGCAACCACCATTAATGGGGTGAAAAGGGGTATCAAAGAAATAGGGGTTGAGCCAAAAAGTAGGATTTTGTGTGTGTGTGTGTGTGTGTGATCTTCTAAGGGGCGGGGCAACGGGCAACTCGTGTTGTACAGGGTATAACTGTGAATACGCAGCAGTGTCGTGGGTTTGCGTTCTCTACACCACCGCAAGGGGCCATGGCCCCTGCGCCAATATTGAGTATGCAATCCCGCAACACTGCTGCGTATTCACAGTTACACCCGGTACACCTGCTCACGCCACAGTACGCGGACTTTTCTTTGGATGTAGCTGCATGTGATCGTGTCGATTGTAGCCACAAATGTGTTGCTTCAAAAAGGGCCGTCCCACGGTGTGGTCACAAAAATGAAGTAAGGGAGGGTGGGGCTACTTGAGCCACTTTTCTTTTCTCCCTCCCCACACCTAAATGGTGAACCCGAGGAAACTCATACAAGGGCCGTGCGAAAGGTCTTTCATTTAGTAACACATTGGTGACCTTGAATATTTTTTATCTGAACGCGTTATTCGGATTTTAGATTTTTTGTAAATTTTGCAGATGGCTCATGGTACCCCTCTATTGGGGTACCATGAGCCACCTAGGGGGCACCATGAGCCATCACATTTATAGCTCTAAATGATGTGAATTTGCATAGCTTTTAAATCCAAATGTGTTAAGTTTGACAACCTTAACAGTATACAAGCAAAGAATACTTGAAATCAGCACCAGGCTGCTGATCATGAAAATGCTTTTGTTGCATAGAACTTGAGCAAAATAATATAACTTTTTAACATGAACTTTTTTTTTGCATACTATATGCTCTTTGGGGGGATTTCGAAATATGAAGTTCAACACAAAATTTGACGTGGAGGGGTAAGAATCAAATATATACCGAGTTTGAGCCGAATCAGGAATTTCCACCAACCCAAGTCTCCTTTAAACAAGATGGCAAAACTTACGAAAGGTGTTCAAGGTTGCATCCAATAGTCTAAAATTTAAATAAAACTGAAAAAGGAAGTTCCTCTAACGTTTTTGTTGAAAAATATCAAGAAAAGTCATGGCTCATGGTACCCCACAAAAACTGGCTCATAGTGCCCCATAGGTAACTTTCTTGATCGGGCGACTCTAGGAGGTACAGAGCACTGTTCAAAAAATAAATCGACACTGGGAAATACTCCTGAATGTCATTAAAATCCAACAGTGAAAAGAGTTCCAGGCTAAATTAAAAAGTGCGCCGTACAAAAAAAAAATTACTGCTCATTGCTTTCACTCAATTTCCTTCAAAGTTGTACCTTCAAAATTCACTACGCCACCATTTACACGTTGTCAACAATAGCGCTATGAGCCTTTCTGAAAAAGTTCGCATGGTGATGCTCTTCAAGAGAATATTTTTTGATTTTGAAGGTAGGGCTTGGTGGGGGAGATACGGGTGGTGGCTCATGGTACCCCCTGGCTCAAGTAGCCCCACCCTCCCTTATGCTCCGCACCCATCGTTCCGTTGTCGGAATTGTCGGTGTTTTGAAAAGTAGAAGAGCAACTCTCCTTAACCACGTGTGTATTTTAACTTAAATATTCCACAGGAAATGATCGGAAGAACCTAGTGACGCTAGTCGGCGCCTTTGGATGGCGATGCAAGGTGTGTAAGGCGAGCGGACCGAATCCTGATCCAGCTGTACAGGAGCTCCAGAAGTCCTTCCGGCATCTTCAGGTGTTGATGGCGCTAGATGAAAATCCTGCTGGGGAAGGAGTCCAGCGCCTCTGGCAGGGGTACATCGACGCTGCGCTCTGGCCGAAAGGACCGCTGCACCCGACTCACCACCTGGTGGTCAAGGCCGCGGCAGAGCTGTTGACGCTTGGCGACAACGTGTGTCCACCCAGGCAACCTGCAACCCTCAGTAAGTCCAAATTGCTCAGCTGGTCACTTCCCCTCTTCCTCGCGCAGTGTTTTATGGCGACGTCACATTCCAAACTCTTATAAATTAATGTCTTATTGTATTTTTAGAGACTTGCACTTATTTTACTTGTTCATTCACAGGGGAGGCAGCATACTTGGTCGAGCACTGCAGAAAACTTCTGGATGTCATAGATGTTCTCCGCCCACCTATCAATACCTACAGACGTGAGGTCGTCATGTATCTCTTCAATTTCAACTTAGAGAAACTCCTTCTGCATCGTGGACAAAGACAGAGCAATACACGCACTCTCAAGTCTACAATTGATAAGGTAAGAATCCGAAGGATGATGCAAGGGCTTTGTAACTTGTCATAATGATGAGAGTGAGCGTTAGTTTTGGCATTCAAGGAGGCCAAACATTGGCAGCCTCCTAAAGAAAGCCAAAAATTGGCAGTCTAAAGGGACTGCCAACATTTTGGCATGCTAGGCGACCACGGGGTTAACAGTGCTTTTTGTGGACAAAACTGCCCCATTTCAGTAAAAGCCGGTAAAAGCGCATAATATCTATTATCTGTTTTTTTTTTTTTTTTTTTTTTTTAATTTAAAAAAAAAATTTTTTTTTTTTTTTTTTTTTTTTTTTTTTTTTTTGCAGTTGAAGAAAGAATTATCTGATCTTCTCGCTGACATTCGCCATATTTCTATCAGTCAACGTGAGCTGGAGACCTGTGAAAGGCTGCAGACGCAGTTTGGTTTGGTCAGCGGAATGGCCTCTTTGTTCATGTAAATTAAAGAATTATACTGATATTATTTTAAAGGAAAAAAATTATGATTAAATAATAGGAGTATGCCCCGCCTCTGCGACAGCGTGATCTAATAAATCCGGTAACGTCTCTAAAAAGGCATTTAGATATCACATTTGTTTTTCTAGTCGGCTGCCTTAATGGACATATCAATATATTTTGATAATTGGAATAGGGGACGCGTGCTGCGTGCGCCAGACTCGCGTGCTTACCGAGAAAATGGCGCGTGACGGGCGATATGCGGAGGAGACAAGAGCAGGTAGTGGGAGGCGAGAGTTGCCCCCCCCCCCTCCGCCCCCACGACTCCCCCATCAAGTGTAAGCCTAACCACGCCGTTTGTGGACGTCCCCCAAGGCTGTGATTGGGCCCGGCGGCCAATAAATAACCAACCTGCGCAGCCTGCGTGTGTGCGTTCCCCACTTATACCCCAATTCGCCCTTCATGAATATGCAAAGATACAAATGGATTTTAGTGGCGCCCCCTCCCTCGCGGCTCCGCCCCGATACTACACCGGGCCTTGATGTACGCACCGCGACAAAACGTTGGCCCATCGTGCTGGGCCGAAAATTTACTGGTATTTTTCTTTCGTATTTGTGATTCAAATATCTGGCATATTCTTTTAAAGAAAACCGTGGCGCGTCACCTGGTCGCGCAACGGCTGGCTGCCTCACGGACACCCTCCTCACACTGTTGTAGCCTTGTCAGCAAAACAGGGGCTGTTTCTCGAAATCAAAAGTTCAACCTCCATTTGAAGTAACTTTTGAAACATAAATAAAAGTGTTGCACTATCTGGAAAGTCGTATCGGGCCGGGAAAAATCATCACGTGACCGGTGTCTGCAGGGATGCGTTATGGTCTCTGCGAGCAACATAGGCAACACGTAGCGACGCGTCTTTGATATAAGGGTTCAAATAAATAATCCAAGTGCCTGAAGGTCCCTACGACGATTGACGTTCTGGGGCGACACGGACGCAGACTTTGCCCCCATAAAACGTTTTCTGATTTTGCCATCCCCATGAGCCAGAGCGCATCATCCCTATAGCGCCTGCAACACACTGGGTAGACTCGCCCGCCAAGCAGCCGCGTAGAGCAGGCGGCCCGCCCCAGCGCCCTCAGCCAGCCAGCAAGGCCGGGCCCGAGGCCGGGCCGGTGGTTGCTCGCGGCCGACTTTTGTTTTGTCAGCGGCACGAGACAGCCTAAATAAGGGACAGTCTCTACATACGAAATTAAGAAGAATTTGGTTCGGAACTCGGATCACTGTGAAAAATAGTTGTATGTTTACGGGAAAATTGTCCATATGCCCATATAATGTGTACAGATGTGTGTCGTAAAATTATCAAATTTGCGACTGTACATTTACAAGCACTTCGTGTCGACTTGGAATTGATCGATGATTAAGAATGGGCTGTCCTTAATTTACAACATATTTTTAAATTAAAAATTACAATCAAAAATGATGTAAATTTACGATGATATTTTCCACAGTGGGTCGAGGCGAAAACAGAAAATAATAGAAAGGTGACATCCTACTCGACCAGATCCGATATAGATTAATGATCACAAATAGCAGCGTTCAAAAGGGCCCTTTGATGCCCTTTGCGCTTTGAACCCGCTCCCCCAAAAGTTCAACAAGTCTTCAAAAGCGTCCAAACTTTAATGAAAGTCGTACTTTGTGTTTTGCTGGCGCTGCCGCGCTGCCCAGCTGTCACGGCGCGGCGCGGCGCCCAGGCCGCGGCCCCCCCGTGTCGTGCCGCCCGATCGGTATCTGTCTGCTCTGGGCCGTTCGTGCGGCGCTGGACCCGCTGGACGCGCAGCCTCCAGGCCTCAGGCCGCAGGCAGAACGCACGCTGGGTCACGAGAGTCACACTGCTACAGAGTGTGTCCGTCAAAAGCGCGTCGTCATCTTAATTTGGGTGTTCTATCTGGGACTTCCCTTTAGGCGTCCGGTGCGTCGCCCTCCCGGTCCTCGCCATGGCGCGCGGTGCCCTGCTCGTCCTGCTGCTGGCAGCGCCCGCCCTCTCGTCCATGTACCCCGACCTGTCCGAGTTCAAGAAGGGCCTCAAGATGAACGCGCAGCGGTGCGCCAACGCCCATCACGTCCAGTACCGTGAGTGCGAACAGCGCCCGCTTCCTGTTTAAAGCGCAAAACGACCAGAAAAACAAAGTTGCACACGCGATCATTTAGTTTACTGCTCTCGAAATTATTCCAACGATACCCAAGTGTAGTTCGGTTCCACCTTTTAGTAGCAATTTTTTTGTTCGCTGACGTTTGGCCCTCGAAATGCCCCGATAAAGAGCAGCCCGAGCACTGAACGCGCAGCGGTGCTCGGTGTGGAGGGGTAGCCCCGGGTAGGCCTCTGATCATGACCGCAGTCTCCTCCCGGCCCTGCAGTGCAAGTCATGGCCATGATGGAGGCGCCGATGAGGACTGGCTACGACCGCAACTCGAAATGCTTCATCTGCTGCCTCATGGAGAAGTACGAGATGGTGAGTAGGGTGCCCAGGCCCCGGGCCCGACCAGTAGCTCGATGATCTGCGTTGCTCTGTTTGGTCTGACCCAGCTCACTCCGGACGGCGAGTTCATGGACGGTACCATGCGTCGCTATGCCCTGGACCTGCCGGAGAGCCAGTTCAAGACGGTGGTCAACAAGTACCTCGACTTGTGCCTGCGCGAGGGTGGGTCACAGCGCCAGAGGAAAACCAAGGAGTACAGTGCACACCACTCCGTCGACCTGCTCTTGAGTAAAAGCTCACTTTGTTGTAAAGAGCAATATTTTGCCCATAGGACGTCCTATTGTGATGCACTTATTAGTAAAATAAGCAGTACTAACAAATGGATTATTGCAAGAGGGGTTACTGGTTCACCTTTGTTTACCTCTGGTGATGGTATTAACATCACAATTTCCTTCTAATTCTGCTAATTGCTTTGTATTGTTTGGTATTGTGTTAGGCAGAAACCAAGTAGAATTATTCTAATTCACAATGTTTTAGAAGCACTAATATTAACTTTTCCAACCCTGCTATTATTGCACTGGAAACACAACAGTGGGGCTTACATTATTTTCAAATTGTAGTGCCTTTGGAAATATGTTCTTTTTAACTTTGTCATTCGCTTTTAGGAGTTTTCAGTGACACTTTCTTTGTGCCTCTACCCAGTCATAAATGACATGTTTAAATCAATGTCATTTTTATAAAGTATTCATATTTGTAATGTCATTCCTCCCTTGGTAAGAAGACATTACAATCATTATTCTGATTATAAAGCTGCTATAAAGTACTTTACATATGTACTACGTTCCAGTTTCCAGTGTAGGAGTTTTGTTAAGATTTGGGCGTATAATTGCTTTGTGCAACTCCTTTTATAATGTTTCATGGTCTGCAGATAATGACGACATCTGTGAGAAGTGCTATCAATTTGCCAAATGCTATTATGATCGTTCAAAAGTGAAACCAGTAAGTTAACAACTTCTAGCAATCTTGCCTGTCAGGGTATAAATACAATCTCTCTCCTTGTCATTTTAACTTTCTAGGACGGCAGTAGAAAACAATATTACCAGCGCCAGCATCTAAATAACTACTATGAGGGTTCTTCAGGCAGGCTTTTCCAGTCGGTGGGCAACTGGGCCAGCAATCAATGGAATGTAAGATTCTTAATGAAGTTCAAAAATTCTACATAATTTAGAGAAATCTTTCACTTGTTGTACACTTAAAAATTATGTTTATATTTGTTACAGCATGCAACTAACGGCCCAAAAGGACTTCGGTAAGGGCAAGCAACTTTTAAATTCATGCGATTTAATAGCAACAATAAAATTTAATTGACGGTTCGACAGTGATGCGAAAAACTAGCCCTCTAAGGAGCACAAACAGCTTTGCTTAAAACATATTTTAACAAAATCAGTATTGATATATGCGCAATCAACCAATCCACAAGTACAAAACAACATTGTAAGAAATTATTGTAAAATGCAAACAAAACTTAAAATTGAACATACTTGCCTTCAGCAAAATTATTGAGACTGTTCAAAAATAAGAGCAAGAAATAATAAAATGCATCACAAACTTATGTAGTACAAAATATATTGAAAATGCTAATGGATACACAAAGTTTTTACTCAGTGCATTGTAATGCTGTCTTAAACAAATCAATTGTGTACTGAGAAAATTATCACACACACACACACACACACATTGAGATTTTTAAAAGAGGAAAAGAAGAATTCATTTGAAATCTTTACAATGAGCTAGGTAATACAACATCAAAGAAGTTTTAACCTTGAAGTACTACCCAGATTTCCTTTCTTCCACACCTCTCTGAAGGGGTAAGTGTTTTCAGAACACTCATGAAAAAATTATTTGTTTGTAAGAGTTCACTTGGTACATTTGTAATTAATTATCCATGAAATGTCAGTCCATTATCAGATAAAATATTCAACAATTCTGATCAATCGTTGAAAAATAAAACAGTATGCTAAAACGAAACAACTTTGCTCTCTTTATAAATCACAGAATCAGTAACAGAAATGGCACAAATCTATATAAGGCAACCACAGAGGCTAACAATTAAGTTTGCTTTGTTCAGAGATTGTCATAAACTCAATTTATAAGTCATCCGATACTTTCAACAGTTTCAACACTCATTCACACAGGAGAACAGGTAACATCTCTAAGGACAACCAAAATTGTTCTTGAAGTGCACTCTTGGTCAAAGGCAAAATTTAAAAAACAAACAAACAAAACAACAACTCATTCTGGTAAAAAATACGAATTTTAATTCTAGTTGGTGTCAGCCTTGAGAAAACTCCAATCTAATGAGTTCCTTTCTTCACCAAGAGCCTTCCTGAACCGGTTGCAATTTTCCAGAAGCTCCTGAGTCCTGAAACAAAAATACAAAACTGAAAACACCATTTCACATTAAATAGCAAAGTTTCTTTTCTTTCTCCCTTTCTGACAGAACTCCTTTTTTTTTTAAGTAATCTGAAAGCCAATACACATGCATATGACTATAATTATATACTCACTGTACACGAAGTGTCATATTGTCATTTATCATGGTGAGTGTATCATTATCACCTGATTGTTTTGAAAGAGAAAATGTGCTCCCTTTTCTGGAACCTTTAGACCATGCAACACCACTGTCATTTTCACTAGACAAATTTGCTTCAGCTCTCATTGGCTGTTGCTGAACCGATACATCAAATGCAGGAAGAAGGGATGAAGGAGGATTTAACAGACTTGCTTCAGAAAGATAGGGGGAGGAAGTATTAAATAAGGATGTAGAGGAAGCCGCTGTCACAGGACTGATGCCATGCGGAGGAATAGGAGGTGGATGATCTTCGCTGTATATGCTGCGGGTAGATTGGCTACGGTACAGGAAAGGGGATAAATTGCTATTGAGGAGAGGAGAAGGATGGTTAGAATCAAAGGGTGAAGAACGATTGGAGGTTTCTCCATTCTGAAAACAAAATGAAAATTATACTCAAAACAAAGCTCTGACAATAAATCAGCATCCGTTGCTTGACCTAAATTGGTTTTCATTTACTGTCTTTAACACAAGTGATACAGTACTAGTTCATATTACAGTTCACACTAAATTATGCTAATAAATCTTATTCTAAAAGTATACAGTATTTAAGTAATAAGATTGCATTGCAAAGATAGATAATTACTTACAGAAAATGATGAATTTATAAGGTCCCACAGGCCTCGTTGTCTTTCACGATTTATGTTAATTATTTCCGATTTAATTACATCTAGCTTATGCGTCATATCTTCTAATTTCGGCAACAATCTCACCAGTTCATTCTCACAGTCAATAAGTTGCCTAGTGACAAATACATTTTCAGAAAAATTTAAGAGAAAATAGTTAAAACAAGATATAGAAAAAATTGGTACTCACTTTAAATGACTATTCAAAGTTTGGTCATGAAGTAGACAGTCTCGTTGTTTTAAGAAATTGTAGAGAACTTTCACCATGTCTAGAGAATCTTGTGGGGAAGATCGCTCAGCAGTTGGCCGCCTTCTGAGCCTATCCAGAATATCAAGACCTTTTTCCAATCTAATAAAAAATTAAACAGAGTGATGAGCTTGTGGAGACAACACGCAGCACACAGAAAGCCTTGATACTAACAGAGAACTGAGCTCTTCTTTGACATTGGTGGGCTGAGCAGACTGAAGTTTCCTTGCCAGCTTTGTGACTTTTTGAGTCTCTAAAGTCAGCTTTTGTGTTTTATCTAGCAAATCAGTGGATTTGTTATTTAATGAGTCAATCTGCTGTTGCCAGGAGGCTACCATTTCTTTGTCTGGATATTTGAAGAAGAAAAATGTTACTCTGATTGTGAGTGAAACATAACTCTAAAAGGTTATATGTACTTACTTGTGATCTTGGATTTCTTTGCTTGATTAAAGTCAAATTTGTAGCCATCAACACATAGTTCACGAAGAGCTGTCACTGCATTAGATTGGTCTGTAATCTTTTGACTTTCTCTGACAGCTTGTTGGCAAAGAAGAACAACAGAGAGCCTAATATGTAAAAATATGGGTAAATATTTACGCACTTGATACATGTACTTATTTCCATGTCTAACAATAATATAGTACACATACAACTTAAGTTTGCAGCCAACCAGAAAGGTTTTGTAAAGCTTATTTTCTTGTTGCAAGAAAAACACAGCATGACTGTAAGCCCTTCTCTGAAACATGTACTCCATCTTCTCTTTTGGGTACTGCAATATATTGGCAACAAGTTCTGGGAGATTTGGAGGTATTGTTGGTATTTCTAAGACTCCTTTCTTGCACATGTACAGCGATTCCTAAAATAGGAAGCTTGTTAATGCATGGTTAGATTCAAAAATAAAATTGTTCAGAGTGAAAGACTGTTCATACCTGAGTGCTACCAGTGAAGCACTGGCTAACTAAGCCGTCAGAATCAATTTGCTGTCCCTTGGCCAGTAGAAGTTCTTGTTCTTTAGCGGGAATTTTCGTATCACTTTCGATCCATTTCCTCAGTGTAGAGAGCCTTGTTGTATCATCAACAACATAGCTAAGTCTCTCATAGGTTACCATAGAAAAAACTCTAACAGTCTAGACATCATGAAAGAGACACAGTACAAAAGATAAGAAAAAGCAGTTAGTTTATAGTTTAAAGCAAAATGAATCATGGACTTAAGGTTTGTGAAATAACAGGATACCTGTTTTGTTAGGATCGTTTCTATGCTTGAGAAGACAATCACTTCTCCACTGGAATTTCGACCACGCTTCTTTGGGTCCCACTCCAATATTAACCTTAACCATGTTTCCATATCTTTCTTCAGGACACTGGGGAGATGCGCAAAGTACTTTTGTTATAAAATGTCTGATAAAATATCTCAACACAAATAAAACAAATAAACAGAACTATGATGACAACAAATAATGATGGAACTAGCAAACACCAACTACATCTATGAATACGTAATATAGAACTGTTCAGAACTGTACGAGAGTTGAAAATAGAAGATTGAAAACTACATTTAAATACAAGGTTGAACAAAAGAAAGTTGGATGAAAAATCAGTTTGGATAAAGAGTCTGGAAACAATGCATTATGCTGTACTGCAAAGAAAATTTCTGGATGTACAAGCTTTGCATTCCAATCCATTAATCATGTTTATTTTCGGATCACTACCAAGCAAATTCTTACAGTGTTTTTGTATTGCGAGCTAAAAAAAAACTAAGTCCATTTCCAGTCCTTGGAAAAAAACAAAAACAAAAAAAAAAAGTGCAATAATAAATAAACCATGAGCTAGGGACAAATGCAAGCAAGTAAGTGTGTTGACCAGTGTTGACCCATTCAGCACACACAACTGAACATACGAAAACATAATTTACTGGGTAGTAATCAGGAAATTTTACTATCCCTAGATGGATCACAAATACCTAAGATAGTGTTAATGGAAGAAAACAAAACCTAAAACAATGGTTTTGGAAAAATATGGATAGTATGAAGAAATATAGTTGACTAAGAGAGAAGAAGATGAAGAAAAGCTTCACATCAAAGTCAAACTGTGAGAAGGCAACCATCCAAAACATAATGGGAACAGGATACTACATACATATTAAAACCATTCACTATACCAAATGCCTAGAAGCCTAAAAGTACCCATCAATGAAAAATAGAAACCCAGTAACTAACACTTTAAAGAGCTAATCTGCGAGCATTGCGAAATAACTTGCCTTCTAGTTCCCCAAAAGATGTAATGGTGGCGTTCCCAGATAACCATGGAGAAGCCATGCATGATTTCATACAAATTTGTCACTATTGAAGAAAAAATCAACACAGTTAATGATCTTAAAATGTAAAATAATGTCGCCAAGGATGGATGACGGAACTAAACATATTGTTCTTTGAAAAGTTCAATGTTGAGCTTGCTAAACATATCACAAAACTTGTATGAAGCTCATTGTTGTTGATGATAGTTTTAATAAGTATTCTGAATGATACTAGAGTTTGGTTCCCATACCTAAGAAAAATTATGGCAATAATTCCCTAAACATTCTTCCAGCAATCTACAAATTTTTGAAAATATTGTGAGGAAAAAGTACAAATTCCTAATGTTTTAAAAACTTGATATATTTGTTTATTAGACTAGCCATTTAGATGACAATTATTGCTGGTTAAATTTTGTGCTGAAGTTCCACGCGTACTTTACGGGAAAAGTTTCAAAATTGGACATAAACTGAAGAGAGGTATTCTCAAATCAAAAAATGGAAGACAAACTTACCCCCTTAAACCACACATTGTAAGTTAGAATATCACTTTTTTTTTTTCAACATGAAATTATAATTTTTTAAAACTTTAGTCCCTTACAGAGAGTTTTCATTGAAATATGAACTTCAGCACAAAATTTGACCAGCAATCATCATCTACAGGGATCAGAAGCAAATAAACCGAGTTTAAAGAAAATTGGAAATTTGCACCTATTTAAGTCTCCTTGAAAGTGCAGAACAATCTAAGTACCATGGTACCTCTTGCAATAAAACTGCAAGAGGCTTTTGACACAGGACCGCACATTATACTTAGTTTAGGTATAGCATTTGATAAAGTAAAATGAAGAAGGCAAATTAGTTATCGCAACAGTCAAAATACATACAGATTTAGACAGGGACTTAAAAGGATTCCCTCAACATAGATTTTGGTACTCCACAAAGTTCTCTATCTTTGGATTACTTATCCGTCTCAATGATATCAATAACAGTGCTGAAATTTAGGGAAATAATTTCCTCTTTGCAGGAGTCACCTACATTTTTTCATACTGGACACAGTCATTGCCAATAGTAGCTGTCAAGAGCATATTATGTTATTGAAAGTCCTTAATGTTCATGTGTTCGAAGAAGGCCCCTATCTTAATGAGTTATGGCTAGGCAATTGTTTTTAAATCAGAATCTGTAAATATATGCTGATGTCACAAAATCTATCTGATGCTGTAAGTATTATTATTATACTGCTTTATACTGCTTTAAAAAAAACAGTCAATCAAGTACAACACACGTGTATTCTAATACTAAAACATCCTGGTTTGGAACAAAACCCGGCTTGTTTTTCTTGTGCACATTATAAAACAGTTATAGATCATTACTAAAATTCTCTGTAAACTAAGAGACAATACCAAACATTATTACCTTGATATGTGGTTTTGAGGAAACAATTGAGAACTGAATTCAATCTTTCCATCTTGCTTCTGGTAGGCACAAATATGGTCTGGTGCTTTTTTCTTTACATGCTTCATCCTGTGATAAAAGATTACAGTAAATGATACAGAAACCTTGGCTGTAATATGGTTAAAAAATAAATACAGTATTAGGTAATAGTAAACTATACCAAGCTACAGGAGCCATAGTAGGAAGGAAAGGTCGAATCCCTGTTATTACTTCATGAGACACAAGACCTAAGCTCCAGTAGTCAACAGTTGATGAATACCTAGAAATTTTGAAATGAAATGAATATTTTTGTAAATAATTATTTAATAACGTAACATATTTTTAAATTTCTAGATCATCTTACTTTTCATTTGTGAATAATTCTGGGGCAAGGTACTGCAGAGTTCCGACAAAAGAAGTACAAGAAGACTGGTCTAACTCTTTTGCGTAACCTAAATCGATGAGCTTGTAAATTATCTGAAATATGCGTCAGTGATTTGTACAGAAAGTTTATATAAATGCACACCTGGTACATGATCCACAAAAATCAAGACACAATAAAGCTTTATTTACCCCATTGTCACTGTGAGCAAGTACAATGTTTTCAGGCTTTAAATCTCTGTGTGTAATTTTTTCAGAATGTAAGTAGCAAACAGCAGATGAGACATTTTGGATAAGCTGCCTTACATCAGTTTCTTGCAAACCACAAGAATTTTCCGGGCGGTTCAACAGCTAAGGAAGGGAAAGAAAATCAGACAAGGAAATTATTGCTTGAACTGATGAGTAAACAAAACTACTACTGACAGGGTTAAATTGCTGACCTGGCGCAAGTCTCCTTTGGAACAATACTCCATACACAGGATTGGAAGGACAGATGGGAGATTAGCTAAATCCTCTGGGAGAGGCAAGGCTCGTACAACATTTGGATGTTTTAGCCTCTGCATTATCTCTACCTCTTTTTTCCACCTCTCCTTTTGTTTTGGAGTTAATAGGGAGTCAGCCCCACATCTGCACTTCTTGAGCGCTGTTGATTGATAACAGAAGAGAGTTTGATCGTCAGTAGTTGGTAAAAATTCTAGTTCTTGAAGAGTGTGCCACTTTAAAAACATGTCAAGAATCATTGTCTTACCGATCATTTGATTTCCATGTTTCTGTTTCCAGAGGGTAACGGTGCCGAAGCCACCACTACCGAGAACCCTTTCTCTCTTCCAGTGTTTCACTTCCAAAGGCTCCTCAAACGACATGGCAATGATGTGGTTTCAATCGCTCGGTCTGGTGTGTGGTGTCAATGATTCCCCAGTCCAAAAAAAGAAGTAATGAATGAACATCAAGTATCTGCATACAAACGAGTCGGTAGCCATCTTTGAATGGGGAATACACGAAAAACAACATTTGCTCACCAGCAGACGACAAGGTTTAGGACATAGCTGACGCAGCAGCCATTGGATGTGAAGCGAAGAGTGTCTTTTAGGACTACGAAGGAGCTTTATGTGATACTGCCGAGCACTCTCTGAAAACAGGACTTTCTCTACCTGCTTTTTACATGAAAATGAATATGAGACATGAATGCACTAACCAAGTTTCTCACAAAGAGTCGTTGTCGTTTCACAACTCACTGTCAGGCATTACATGCGAAATAAATGACAATCAAAAAGCTGCAACGCAATATTTTCGTTGTGACAGTTACTTGCCGTTTATTTTGAGTCAACTTTGACTTATGCAAAACCATTCACCATTCGTTACCACAATATCCATTGTTGACGAAAATAAAGTATCAATAACGAGATGAGAAATTTAGCTTGAGCACAAAGGCTGGAAAACTACAAACCTGAAAAGATTCAAAATATTTTAAAAATAATCGTATTGTACGGCTCAAAACGGATTGAAAATGCTATTACAAATTAATGATGATATTTTTTTGAATTATGGAGGAATACACTTGGAAATCAACGGCTTTTGTGTGTTCGTTTTGTGCCCTCAGGTTGCCAGATTTGGAATGTGTCTTCGGCTTGTGGTGCCATCTTGCAGCCGGTCAGTAAGCTTCTCCTGTCAAACGACGGACACTTTGTCAGCGCTCGCCGCGATTGTTTTTGTTTACGGTCCGTGTTTTTCCTGTCCTTGCCCCCGCGTCGCGTGCGGCCCGGCGGCGAGCGCGAGCGCGTGTGTGACACCAGCGCGGTGACTGGCGGAGCCGCGGGGCCGCGAAGCAGGCCGTGTCACCTGTCTGGAGCGTCTGGAGGGCTGGAGCGGAAGGGTCAAGGTAAGGTGCCTGAGAGTGGAGAGTCGAGTGCAGCGAGTACAAACACTGTCTCGCCGCGGCGGCCGTCGCCCGGTCGGCTTGCCATCCTGACAGCGCCGTGGCATCGCCAACCTGAGCCCCTTCAGGCCCAGGACCTGCCCGTCGGCACGGTCTCGCACCTCCCCGCCAGCCCCTCTGTACCCGCGGGCTCAAGCTCCTCTAATCAGTTCAGCTCTTGCAGCTCGCTCGACCAAGTGTCCCTCAGCACGGCAAGCGGGCGGGAGCCGGAGGCAGCGAGTGTGCCGAGTGCCAAGCTCTGTTCTGTTCAGCAACGGCATTTGCGAGATAGAATATCACTTTTTTTTTTTCAACATGAAATTA